CAGACAATCAAACGTGTGTTCTCTTTCCCCTTGGTTGCCTTAAGATTAGCTAAATGTGTTTCTCACTTGACAATAACTAACTCACTCATTTCCAATGTGGGATACATATTTTTCTTTCTAGCTTTTATTTTTAAAGCTGTAGTTTTTATAGCAGGTTTTTGAGGATGTCAAAGTCATCCTCGTTATGTTCTTTGTAAGCAGGCAGAATTAACATAATAAGATTTCATCCGTGTTGCTGTTATTAGGTGCAATTAAGTCAAGTACAACTCATAAGAATCCTGAGAACAAAAGATCTGAAACCAGTTCTGTCCTGTGCCATCCTCATACTTTCTGACAAACAAGAGCCCATTTCACCTGTCACCTTGTCAATCCACCTGGTTCAGGGTCTTCCTCTTCATCGCTGACCCTCTACCCTTCCCAATATCATGTCCTTCTCCAAGGAATAGCACCTCCTAGCAATATGTCCAAAGTATGTTAGGTGAAGCCTCATCTTTCTTGTCTCCAAAGAGCACTCTAGCTGCACCCTCTCCAAGACATAACTATTCGTTTTCCAACAAAAGCATCAATTCTTTCTCATTTCATTTTTAACAATATCCAATTTTCTAACATTAAAGCTACAAACATTCCATGTACCAATTGTTAAACTATGTTTGTTATTGATTTTCCTCATTTCAACTAACTTCTAATCTAGGCTCTACCACTACACTACTATAAATAACCTCTTTGTTTAGTGTTCATAGGGTTTAAAATAAAAACCTTTTAATTAGTAGATAGATGGCCCATCCTGCTTCCTAGTCTGTCTTAATTAGGGAGCTCCACCAAAATCAGTCCATGATGGGAAACTCTTTTGGAATTTGACACACTAATGGCAAAGATTTCAGTATCACAGCAACCTCAAGTAATTGCAGTGCAGCAAACTGACAGACAAGTGCTGCACCACTTATAACAACATTCTTTCTAAACACATCAATAGCAGGGCCAAGGCCATTGGCCCTCAGGCCCAACCAGACTACAAGTCATTGTATTAGTTAGAAAAGTGAAAAACAAAACTACTGTGGCTTTTCTTAAGCCAGACTACAGATAGGAATTGCAAAGGATCTTGTTAGAAGGTAGATTCAACTTTCTTATTAGAAAGTAAACTCAAGGTGGTATGGGAAGTAGCTAGTGGTTCCATATTTCTAACAGGCTCCCAAATAATGTTGGTCCTATTGGTCTTCTGCTGCATATTGTGGGTAGTTGCAGCCCAAACAACAATAGCATGAATAGCATGAAAAGGCAGTGAAGGTCAAATAATATGCAGCCCTAACTCTTAAGACAGTAAGGAGTAAAAACTAATGCAATGTGAGAGAAGCAGCTTTCTTAATCTTTAAAAATCAAAAAAGCTTACAAGTAAATTCTCTCTCTCTCTCTCTCTCTCTCTCTCTCTCTCACACACACACACACACACACACACACACACTGCCACCAGGTTGGAACTGACTGATAGCTAACCCTCCAATGGGAGCTGCCTAGTGAGTTTTCAGAAGTTGTAAATCACACAGGGAGACTGCACATCATTCTCCCTGAGGAGGCTCTGATATGGATTCGAACCTAACAGCACATCTCCTTACAGACTAAGGCACCATAATGCTGCAATACAAACAAACAAAGCCCTGACTAACAGCAGTATGCATTGTCTAATAACGACTTTCTAGTTTATTACAAAATGTTGTACATTCTAACACACACATCTGAAATCTTTATCTATCTAACTTCATAAGAAAGAAATAGAACAAAAATGAAAACTGTCCATTTGGGCAAGGAGAATTTCTACTTATCCAAACATTTACTAGGGACTTCTGGTAGCCTAGTGGGTAAGGTGTTGTACAGACAAGTCATAAGCAGGAGGTTTGAATCCACCAGCTGCTCTGTGTGAGAAAGATGGGCAATCTCTTCCAGTGCCATTTACAGCCTCTGAAAACCCATTGTAGGGTCTACTGTTAGCCTAGAAAATGAACAGGTTCATCCAGGAGCAGGTTAAACCAGGCTGCTCCTTGAAGGCAAAGATTCTAAAGCTTCGTCTGACATACTTTGGACATGTTTCAAGGAGGGACTAGTTCTTGGAGAAGGACGTCATGCTGGGGAGGGTGGAGGGACAGTGCAGGAGATGAAGACCCTCTATGAGGTGGATTGATTCAGCGACTGGGGTAATGGGGGTAGGTGTGTCAGAGACAGTGAGATTGGCACAAGATAAGAGAGGGTTTAGGGCTGTTGTACACAGGGTCACTATGAGTTGCAGGCAACTCGACGGCACATAACAACAACAATAAAGAGAATCTTACTTCTTGCCCTGTCTGGATTTAACAAGCTGCCTGGATTCCTTGGCCTCCCTTCTCAGTTTGCAAAGTCAATAGTGCTGTTACATCTGTCTGTGTATTTCCTCCATAGTCACACCTACTTCCAGAGCTGCTAATAGAGCTGAACCACCAGAGAAGCACAGCTTTTGGGCTAGCAATACAACTCTTTTCTGAAGAGGTTGGACTACTCGAGTCCCTATTTACTGTATGTTATTTGTTGTCGAGATGTAACTCACCCATAGCTGACCCTCCAGCAGGTTTACAGAGGCAGTAAATCACACGGGAGACTGCCCACCTTTCTCCCATGGAGCAGCTGGTTGATTTGAACCACATGCCTTTGAGCTGGCAGCACAGCTCCTTATCACTAGGCCACAAGAGCTCTCTATGTACTTTATAGGCCTTTCTATTACTTAGCTCATAATTGATCCCCAGGGGTATACTCAGTTCCAGCCTTGAAGGGTGTCTTAAAGCCACACAGTCTTAAACGTTTCATCAGTTTCTACCACTCCACAAAAAAAAAAAAAAAATCACCTATGTTCTCAGTACTAAATCAGATAAATACAACACCCAGTCTTGTCCCATGCTTGCTGCCTGGAGAAGAGAATGAATGGGGAAGAGGAAAGGAGAACTGGTAGCTATCTGGGATATGTAGAGGCAGATCAGTTTCAAGAAAGTGAGAAGTTGAGGGTCTGGAAGCTAATACCTGTGAAATTCTCCCTGCCATACAGAGCCTTGTGTGGATGCATCCAGTCTGAACACTGCTGGAGAACTTTCACACTCTTAGATGACAGTGCCTCACAAGACAGACATACGAGGCAGTGTTTCCAAACATAACATTTCTGACCATATTTCTTTGAGACATTTCAAGCCTCAGGGATATTTTAATAGAGATATTAAATTCTCATTATCACAACGTAGGATCAATAACTAGGATTACTATGCTGCTTGGACGGCAATCTTGTGCATTATCTTCGATAGACAGAAGTGACATCCCAAGAACTGACCATGGAGAGTTGTCCTAAATCAAAGGCAGGGCCTCCTCTGGCAGTTCAAATCCACCAAAGGCTTTCATGGAGAAAGACGAGCAACCTCCTCCCATGTGACTGACCAGCTCTGCATACCCGTTAGAGGGTCAGCTGAGAGCCTATTCCACCTTGATAATCAAGCCGTTTCCACCAACTGAACCCTCAGAACTAGCCGCTTTTCTCTCCTCCCCCCTACACACACTTCTTAGCTAGCTTGTGTGTAACCAAGTCTAAAGTTATCACTGTTGACCTCAAAGTTCTAGCATCCATCCTCTGTCATCACTGGGCCTGATTCCAATCCTCTGATTCTCTCTGAGGATCCTTTCAGTGTCAGACATAGTAGGTGTTAAACCAACCTGCTTTCAGTGTCAGAAACAGTAGGTGTTAAACCAATGTGCAATTGTCCAAAACTGTAACATTGGCCTAACAGACGTGCTGCTTGTGTAAACCACTTCAAACTTTGACACAGAAAGGCAGGGAGGTGTGCACAGTTATACTGGGAATGCATTTTTAAAGTCTAATGCTTCTGGGGAAGGGCGAGGAGTAAACTGCAAGTAGTCCCCTGGTTATGAGTAGGATCCTTTCCTAACTAGGCCTTCAAGTCTGCAGGTGGAGATCTCATAGGTAAGTGGAACAGGAAAATAAGGGTCTTTAGGATAAGAAAGGATTCAAATGCTTTACAGTGATTTAAAAGCTGAAGATGATAATGAAGAATGTATTGCTTGTTGGTTGAATCCTTCTAAATTGAAGTCAGATTTACACAATGCTAAAGGGAGCTCTGGTGGCCTAATGGTAAGAAACTGCACTGCAATCCCCAAGACACCCAGTTCAAATCCACCAGCTCCTCCAGAGGAAGCTGGGCAGTCTCCTCCCGTGTGATTAACTGCCTCTGAAAACCTGCTGGAGGGTCAGCTGTAGGCGGATTCCAACTCGATGGTACTCAACAAAAGTTCAACAGGGAACTCTGGTGGTCTAGTGGTAAGAAGCTGCATTGAATCTCAAGGTATGTGGTTCGAATTCACCAGCCGCTCAGAGGGAGAAAGGCTGGCAATCTCCTCCCGTATAATTAATTGCCTCTGAAAACCTGCTGAAGGGTCAGCTGTGGGTCAGTTCCAACTCTAAGGTACACAACAACAACGAATGCAAGTAGCCTGTACTGACAATGGGCAAAAGTAATGCAAGGAAGGCAACTTTAGTCGATGCTTTCTCTCCGTAGGTTTGGCCTTTTCAGGCTCCAAGAATCCTCAACAACATCCAGGGTCGTGCAGTTGCCTTTTCTCACGATGAGAACCCTGGAAAACATCTCTGGGGTACATGTGTCCAAGGAAACCCAAGATCAAGGTCGTCCTACTCATTTGCTACTTGGAAAATCTTCCCATGTCATCTCTTAAAAGCAGATCTGTTTCCCTCCAAAAAGTCACCCACCTGGTTGCTCCCACCTACTAGATGTTGAGTGTTCAGAAAGTGATTGTGCGGTGGCAGCCAGGCCTTCACAGGCGTTCACTGGGGTAGAAGCTATGACAGGAGTGGATGCTGGGGGCGCGCGCCAAAACGCACGTGCGCGCACAAGCGCGCACACCCCCCACAAACACAGAGGCTCAGGGAGGCGCGGGGGTGCCGGGGGAGGGCGCGGCCTTACCAGATCAATGAACGTCAGGAATTTCCAGCTCCCTCCGTAGGTCTTATGCGAGGGCATTTCGATGGCCTTGTAGTTGCACAAGATAGAGCAGTAGGACAGCAGGATGGCCACGCGCAGCACCTGGCAGGGCACAAGCGCCATGTTCACGACTGGCCGGGGCCGGCTCAGCGGGAGGAGGGCGGGCGGCGCGCGGGCGGGCGCGGGGACTGGAGGGGCCGGGCGGGCGCGGGGACCATCAATAACTAGGATTACTATGCTGCTTGGACGGC